ATCCAAAATAAATACTCAATGACAGGATTAACTAGAGATACAAAGAAACATGCAAATATATATATATATATACATTTATAACTTCTAACACATAAATTGGCTTCAAAATAAAGATGAGATGTTCCCCTTTTTTGCATCAGGTTTAACCAATGAATAAATGAGCTCTTTTCAGAAAAAATTTGGGCTCAAACCATTATCACTTTCTACTGATCATTTAAACATACTTTACACTAATAATTCTCATATCTGGCCTTAAGGCAAAGAATCTGCTAAGACACCTCAAAATCGAAGAGAAAAGCATACAAGTTTATCAGTTGATCTTAGAGATGAAGCTGCAAAAACCATATAGATGACCAATTAATAAATGTACCACATCATTCTACTGTACAAATTGTCACAGTTGTTTGTTGCCAAATGATTTTGATGGACCCTAGACTTTATACCTTGACTTGGACCATACAATAGGTGAGGACAGTTCTGATAAAATCACCAAGATGTAGGTGAAAAAAGTTGTTGATTGAGAACAACAGTACTTTTTTCTTTAGAACTACCAATATGAACCTCATATGCATTTTGAACATACTTCAAAATTATTTATGCACAAAATTTCTTGTGGGCCCATTACAGTACTTTGTTGGTTAAAAGGTCTCTAATAAATACAAGTCACAAATATTTTGTAAAACAAATAACAGCAATATCACAATTAATTCCATTAATTACTGTCAATTGTTTGAACATTCAATTGGCAAAAACATAATATTACTCAATATGATGCAATATGTGGACCCCTACCAATTGAGGGTTATAACATGGGTAAAAAACAAAACACCGTCCTTTAAATATTCAATATGTGTTATGTTTGATATGTAAAATATATGTGTATGTGTTTATATATATATTTCTACTCAAGGAAGCACGAATGATCTTAAAGATGACTAAAATGATATTTGTAAGTTGCCTTGTCACATACATAAGCATTCCAAGATGGCCACCTGTACAGGTTTTCTTTGCTCATTTTCAGCCAACATGTTCAATGTCTATATAATTCTGTCATGGGGCAAGCATGAAACTGAATTGTGCAAGTCAACTTAGGCATGTATATAAACAAGCTATACATAACCTCCAATACAACAGATCTCAAAGCATTATTACAGTTTAAACCACATGTCATTTTAAAAATGTACCTCTCTTTTAAAAGCAACAGTAATAAACTTCTAAGTAAACAAAAAAGTACTTAAAAACTTATCTAAATCATTCAGTTATATTTTAGAATTTAATTTTAAAACAAAATTCAAAATTACAGGGCTAAGCTGCTTATGCAACCATGATAATGCACTTCTCCATAAAAAAAATACATGCACATTAAACAATTATTCTTCCCTATAAAAAATACATGCACATTAAACAATTAATCTTCCCTATAAAAAATACATGCACATTAAACAATTAATCTTCCCTATAAAAAATACATGCACATTAAACAATTAATCTTCCCTATAAGAAATTACATGCCCATTAAACAATTAATCTTCCC